TTATTGAAGTGGAAGAGCTTGGTTGATCACCATAACTTCCTATTCTAGGTAAGCATATAGAATATTATTGTATGATTGAGAAATTACATAGGTTTTTCTATAGGCTAAAGATCAGGATATAATATTATCTAGCATATACATAGTTACATTTGGTGTTAAACTCGTAATACTCCCCTCATACTATGAAATGACAATTGTAATCAATTGTAATTTCTTATCCATTTAAGTTAGGACATTTTATCTGATAGGGTTTTTCCCATAGTCGACTATTAACAATGAATACATCATCATTGCTTTCAACTATTTAATGGGTTGAATGGAAGTTAGAGCTCTTGTTAGTGCATTTATGACTACTATTAGATACTTCCTCTTTAATCAAGTTGTGTTTTAGCATTTTTTTTTGCAATGGAATCTTTCAGATAATAATTTTGCATTTATGGCTTAGGCATTTTATGTTTTGATATCTTGGTTTGGGATATGCCATATTTTCATGAGTGCTTATCATCTATAGATAAATGGTTTAGTGCACCAAGTTGTTTAGATATTCAAAAAGATGATCATGAAGTATGTGAGCTTTCAACATTCAGATTGAGATGGTTATTTGCCATCTTTTCAATATATATATGTCATGGGGTATAGAGTTTCGTTGATGCTTCACTATATAAACTTTTATATGATATAATATGATATTGTCAATAGAGTTGAGTTTAGCTTTGTATTATCATAAGTTATTAATGCTAAGTTATGGGATCAATAATTCACAAGTATTCTTCCACTGGTTCAAGTAGAGTTTACTGAACATTTAAGGTTGTATATAAGTGGGACAACAACTACACTATAACTCTTATCATTATCTATTTATAGAGTACAAAGTGGATGATCTAATGTTAGTTTATTTTCCCAATTTTATAGTATATGGTTTATTTAAGGGGCTTCTTGCTTAGTAAAAAGTATCATATTGAGTATTGTAGTAAGTTAGATTACGAGTTTATAAAGCTTGAAACTACATTCAATAAACCTATCTTCTAAAAGTTATGCATGTGCAATGGCTTAAACATTTCATACAGAAGGATTAGGAGTAAATTTATAGATCCACTAATACCTCTTTCTAATGTTGCTCAAGATTTTGGCCTATCAACCAAGAGACTCTAACTACCTTCTAATTTTTCTAAAGGAGGGGATAATCTAAGGTCTAGATGTAAAGCTACAATGCTATATACTAATAATAACATAGTGGATTTTAATAATTATTAAATTGGTTTCAATTTGGACCACTGTATAAGCTAGGGTTTTTAGGCTAAATAAATATGTATTCCATTCTATACACACATAAATTGTGCTTAATATTTATAATTAATGGAGTATTCAAGATTATTATTCCTAGTGAATTGTAGTTTATATAGAATCTCAATGATATCTTTCTTTAATCCTTGTGCTCAAGCAACAATTAATCCTATTCGAGAGTATTAAAAAAAAAAACTCAATACAAATATAAATTCTGACTATAAAAAAGATTATATACTATGGTTGAGATCTTTGAAACAATAGATGGTTGATGACTCTTGTATAGGAGAATTCTAGTGAGAGATGGCTCACCCAAGAGCAAAAGCTGAGCATTATATTTTGCATAATTGATTGATTGAATATGACAGCTTAGGAAATATATTTTTATTACCTCCATCTTTATGTTGTCTATAATCTTATTTTAGAAACTTGTAGTTAAGTAGAATATATAAAGATCTAAGACAATGAAGCAAGATTCAAAATATCCTTCTATACTTTCAAATTTAAGATTATTTAGTAAGAATGAGTTACATATGATTTTAAGAATTGATAAATATAAATTATTTTTTCCTCACAGCAATACTATATGGTACAGCAAATTATTAGCAAGAAAAGTATAGAGAATATTAAAATCCCTTAGAGAGGAGTCTTTAATTTTACCTTATTAATTACATTATAATAATTATATATTACATTAGTTATATTTAATTTCTTTATTGTCAGTATTGTTTTTCCAAATGAACATCCATAAAACTATAGTTACCATAACAGAACCAATGTTATTAATCATGGTGTCATTGCTTGTTATAAAGCTGTATATTTGCAAATAAATATCTATAGTTGAATTCCTATATAAGAGTTGAATAGGAAATAATACAATATGATACACATCAAGTAATAAATAAATTAAATTTAAATATCCAAATATACCATCTAAAAACCAGTCACTATGAGTTGATACTACAATATCATTTATAATTAAATCACCAGATAATGTAAATGGATTGTAATGGCCATACATTTTTATAATATTAATCTCTGTAAAACAAGTACATTAAAATTTTAAAAAATGTTACGTGTATTTACCTGTTATATTGTGAGGTAATAGCTCCCCTGATTGCTCATCCAAAGCTAATAATATATCAGCTAAAGTAATATCATTTGCATATTTATAAAATATTGATTTTGAATCTAAAATAGAGTATTAGAATAGTAATGAAAAATTCTTACTTTTAGTTGGTATGAAATGCAATGTGGATAACTCAATACTCTTATTATTCTCAGTATTAATATGGATAAATTCTTCATAAGCCTCAATATCTTTATGATATCAGCTTGCCATCTCTATTTCGGATTGCAACGTAATTACAATAGTTAAAATTAAGATTAAGTGACCAAGGTCAATAATATTACAGACCTTATCTCCTATAGAAATATCCTTTATTTTTCGTCTTTTACCATTAGAAAGTCTTAAGATAGCATCCTCGATATTATAATTATGAATTTATATGATAAAGTAAACCATACCTGGAAAACATTTTTTGTTTTTAACACAATTAGAATCTTTGCAGTGATGACCTGAAATACAATCTGAATCTTTTGTACATGGATCATGTTGAGATTTAGTAAAGGACATAACACTTATAATTAAAAACCCATAAATAAAGAAATTACTCATTTCTTAAGTGTATGAAAAAATTCTTACAAGGTAGAAGCCTTAAATAAAGAATATATCATTAATTTTCATTTGTGTCCTTGTAATTATTTTCACTAAGTCAACTTCAATGTCGTATCAAAACTCCAAATATTCAAGCATATTCTAGAATATTTTTTAATCTAACAGTTATGATTTTATCCATTTAAACTTACTCAACGTTTATTGCTATATTACAAATGACATCTCAAATATCCTCTTCATCATGTGAAACCCCTCCATTTCCACATACTATTAAAGTCCTAGATAATATATGTGACTAAAATAGGTGTATCATAGAGTAGTGATGTTTATATTTATAAGAAGTTTTAACACAAGAAGAGTAGTGTAGTTATACTCCTAGTTGATTGCTCAACTAGCCAAGATGTAACAAGCCAAGTGTTGGTGATCACTATCCCAGTTATATATAATAAGCCTACTAATGTGAATTTTGGATTTTATATGGTTTTCTTTATGTTAAGTGCAAATTAGTGTATGGTTATCCATGTGGTAACTTTTGTATGTAAAAAATTATGTGAAAACTATATAGAGTGAAAAATAGTCATATGATTATATAAGAAAACACAGATAATGTATAGTTTGGAATTATTTTTGGTTTGCTTAAGCAAACATGTAAAGGGACTGAGATGGTAGTGAATATACCTAGAATATTCTAGGATATTCTACCATCTAACGGTTATTATTCATTTAGATTAATCTTGTATTTATAAATTATATACTTATTTATAATTTATAAAATTTCTTAAGCACTTCTTAGTATATTTTATTTTATTCTACCATCTAATGGTTGATATGCAATAAGATTAATCATGTGTTTATAAATTAAAAACATGCTTATAATTATAAAACTTATTTAATTGATTGGATTAATAAGTAAGAATAACACTACTATTAAGCAAACCAAACATTATTACATGCAATGCATAGAAATTTATTCACTGAGACATTGTTTAAAATGATTATCCAAATAGTTTTCTAGAGCTCGTACATTATATAGTTTTTTATATAGATTATAATGTGATCAATTATTCCTAGCACAGACCATTTAATCCACACTAGAGCTGAATTCTTTTCATGCCCAATTCCCATAATTTTCCATTATAAAAATTGTACAATGATATCTTTACTTCTTGTTGCCAAAACTATTATAAGACCATAGCAATCAGTTTCAAGTTGCAAGAAAATGATTTCTTTAACTTGTGCATGCTTAAAAAGTGTAGTAAATAAAAGATTTAACATCACTCACCAAGAATTGCGAGATGGATCTTCTATATATATAAGTTAATCCAACTTAACCAAGTAAGTTAACCAACTTAACAGTTGGATCCAGCTTAACCTTGATAACATAGGCAATCCTTCTGTTTGCATGTGAATTTATTTATGTGCATTTGTGCAATCTTGGCACCATATGTCAGTTCTTCTAATCTTAGTTATTTCTCACTAGCTTTTCTTCTTAGCACAGACAGGTTATAGAAGATAGGTTTTATCTCTATGAGTTAATAATTTGTTATGTGTTGCATGTAGCAATGTTTGGTTTGCTTAATAGTAGTGTTATTCCTACTTATTAATTCAATTGATCAAATAAAAGTTTATAATTATAAGCATATTTATAATTTATAAACACAAGATTAATTTTATTGCATATCAACCAATTAAATGGTAGAATAAAATAGAATATACTAAGAAGTGTTTAAGAAAGTTTATAAATTATAAATACAAAATTAATCTAAATGAATAAGAACCATTAAATTGTAGAAAATCCTAGAATATTCAAGCATATTCTAGGGATATCCCAGTCCTAGATTTGCTTAAGCAAACCAAAAAGTTCCAAAAATCTATTTTTATCCTCTCTTGCCAAACTACACCACTATAAATGGCATATATTCCATAAGAGGCCAGGAATTTTTTACCTTTAACTTTTTCAACATATTTCCAGTGATATAATGGTGGGGGGAGTTGTTTCCACTCATCACCTTTTTAAATGCAAATGAGATTGTAGGCATTACACAAATCAATCTTGTAACATTTGTTTTATGAAAATAAATTTAAACAAATCTTTAAATCTTAGCAACCTTGATGAGATCAAGAGGTGGTAACTCCTCATCCCGTTATCCTTCATGAAGGGATCAAGAGGTGGTAGCTCCTCGTCCCGATCTAGCTTTTATCCTTCGTGACGGGATCACCCAATCGTCCCCGTTTTGTTCCTCCAATCCTTGAGTTGGATCCGGGCACGGCTTTGTTCGCCAGCAAGCATAGTAAATCCCAGCAAGAGCAACAGCTAGAGCAGCCATGGATCCTACAATAATACCAATTGTCTCGCCAATCCTGTAATGCTTTCCCAAAGAAGAAGTCGCAGTGACGTTACTGCTAGAACAGTTTGCTCCGCAACATATAAAGTCAGCCATTGGTGTGGAGAACTCCTGTCTTGGACAGATTGGAGTCAGCGAACCAGCAAAATCACACCCTGTGGTTGCCTCTAGAACCTGTGAAACAAAGGATTATAAATAAGATCATTCTCTGGAAGATTGTCAAAGCTTACTGGGTGAGAACTTTTCAATGTGAGAGGTTTTTGCTCTAGAGATGGACCCGGGCTTCTCTTAGAGACAGCCTCTTGAACGACTGCAAGACCCAAGCTGTTGATGAGATCGTCGGTGACAATATCGATGCAGGCAACTCCGATCAATCGTTGGGTGGCATCAAAAGCTAGAAAACAAAGTTACAATACCCAGAAACACCGTTTTCGTGGTTTTCTTTTTACCTGGCAAGATCGAGCTTGTAACATTGCGACCACCTGAATCAGCATATAATGGCACCCACACTGGCTTTCTGTTGACACTGCTGAAACGGAGCCAAGCTAAATAGTCCAAGTAGCTGCGTATCTTCATGAGAGGATTGGTTTCATCTTTTACTGCTTCGAAGCTTATGTTGAGGCTGAATTGCATTCTCTGGAAAGTTTCATCGTTGGAAATGTAGAAACCAATCCTGTACACGAAAACCACAACGTTTTTCTCGTTAAGCTGCTTGAAAATTGGATCCAAATCCGTCAGGTTGACATGGTTGGCAAATTGGCCATCTGTTAAGAGGAGTATAACCTGGAAAATTGTTGCAATTAACTAACGAAAGAGCTCGAGTTTACGTACATTCAAGTTTGAGCTTGAGTTGAAGAAGTCAAGAGCCCCGACGAATGCTTTCTTAATATCGGTTTGTAATTTGTCCGCTCTTGCATTGCTTATTGCGTTTTTGAGAGCTGAGATTCCAGCATGATCGAAGGATGTCTCTAAGCCCTCAAGTGAAACCGAGACCTGGAAAATGAAAACTCATAGAAATTAATAAATAATAGGATGAGATACTTACTGGTTTTCCTCCAAATGGTTTGCCTCCATTCATATCTGACACAATTACTTGGTCCCCATTGGTAAGAGTGTCGAGAAGCTCGTCCAGAATCCCCTTGGCCACTGCTAGGCGGCTTTGAGATGACAAAGGGCCGATGGAAATGCTCATGGACGACGATGTGTCTAAAACAATGTAGAGTGATTTCACCACCGCCAAGGCATGCACATACCATGGCCTTTTCCTTGGATCATAGAGTTTGCATTGATGGTCGTCGGTATAGTCCTAAACCATCATAGTACAGATGGAGATTAAATAAATCATGGAGCTTACCCTGCCTGGATAGATGTACAAGTATCCTTCGGCGCCTCCAAAAAAAACCCAGCCATGAGAGACTTTGCTGGTGCTTTTCCATGCGAGTTGAAGTTTACGATCCAGGGACTTTTGGGCACACATAGCAATCTTAACATCAGTGTCACTCTCCAATGCCGATGGTGAGAGCCTGTTGAAAACCCCAAAGAAGTTCTGTGACAGATAAAAAATGGAGAGAACCTAATGTATGATCTCTTGCTCGAGACGCTCAAGTTCTGGCATGTCCCATTAGTGGGAGTGGAGCAATCTAGATTATGACCCACATTGACGCACGAGAGAGATTGGATCTCATCCCTGGACTGCGGTCTACAAGTGTGCCTTGAGCAATTTTCGATTGTACATTGGGATAGAGATCCTGAGACGAGAAACGATCAATCAATAATACTAGCATTCTTGTGCAGCTCTTTACTATACCGCAAGCATTCTCCCGATTTGAAATGGCCTGCCTAGCAATCTCTTGTACCTGGAACGCTGCTTCATCCAGCACGGCTTCAATGTCGTCCAGGGAATGCGCATGAAGGTACCAAAGTGCCACAAAAACTAATCTGGAAAGAACCATTGCTCAATCTTTCATCTCTTGTGTGATTGTTTGAAGAACATCCTTTCTGCCTGTTAGAACTCGAAGGCAAGGAATTAAGCGAGTGAAGGAGACCCGAATTTAATGCCATTAATGAAGAAACAGGACCGACAAAATCAGCAAAGTTTTTAAACGACAGAGCATATTCCATGTCTAAGTTAAGAGATTCTCGAATATGCTTACTCTAATAACCTTTCTATTATTACTGCTCCACTTGTACCTTGTAAATGGCGGGAGATGAGCCCTAGGGCGGCGGACAAAACAAGTGAGGCCACATTTCTTTTCCCTTCTCTGATGCTGTTTAGGTCAGTCAATCGCTACAGTGTCGCCAATGGATCGCTCGCCAAAGCAGCGCTGCGTTGAATTCCTGATTAGTCCTCGATTTGCCTCAAATGTGCTGGTCTTCGTCCTGGCAGTGACAGCCGCAGCGTCTGGGCTCATCGGCAATCTCACGCGCAATCTCAAGGCGGCTCCCTCGGGCGCTGCTACAATCTTCTCGGAGATCTCCGAGTATTCCAACCTGGTAAGTTTTAAGAAGGTGGTTCTTTCTTTTGCATCATCGGCTCACAAAATTTGTTCTTGGCAGAGAATTTTGAGGCAGGCAATTGAGAGAGCGAAGCTCAGGGAGTTTATGTCCGACCATGAGAAATGCCTCACTCTCTTTGCACCAACAGATAGTGCTTTCGAGAGTGTTTTGCACAAAAGGCTTCTTCCGTGCGTTACGAATCACTACAACGTGAATCGTTGTTCGTCTCTCGATCAGCTTCTCTCTTCTACAAGCCTCAACAAGTTGCTTCTAAATCATGGTGGTGTTTCCTATTCGTTCTTTCTCATGCTCAACTCTTCTTTCAGTGGTCGATGGTAATTTGTCGCTGGATAGTTCTGCAAAGGAGTCATTTCTTCACTTTCTCGGAGACTCTGTGGAAAAGGTATGGATTTTTCCTTTGCTTGGAGTAAGTGTTGCTTCTGATTCTCAGCTCGTTAAGAATGAGACTGGCCATGCAAGCATTGGAAACGCTGCTGTTATCGTGGCAAACGTACGTGTTGGAAACGGAATGATGCATCTGATAGATAATGTATTGGGAAGCGTTGATCCGGAAAGTGGTTTATCCTCCGATGTCTCGCTGGATGCTGAGGCTGTTTTAAGCGCTCTCAAACTCACAGATGCCGACTTTTTCAACGTTACAAAGGTTATCTTTTATTTTCTGGCTAACGTTAACTGGTTCTACGGCACAGAGGCAAGAAATGGCCGAAGGAGCCAAAGCCTTGAACATTCCTGGCTTTCAAAGGAATAGGAACCAGGTTGGTTATCCGGATGGCGGACTAACGAATGCCCCCGTGCTAGTCTTTGATCCAAGTATGAACGAGGCAGACTTTACGGGTCCGGACACGAAGTTTTCCTACCCTTCACTTGCTTCAGGCATTAGTCGGCCTTCTACAGACGAGGACCTCGCTTTCATGACCGTAAGTTCTTGCAAAAATGTTCTGGTTTCCATCTAACAGCGTGTTTTCTTTTCTTGTTGTACAAGATTCTCGAGCTCGGGGCACTCCTCAAGAGCAAGCAGGTGACCTCAGTGGAACTTGTGAAAGTTTTTTCTGAACGGCTGAAGAGGTAATCCGAACTCTTCTACGAAGGCTAGACAATTAAGTTTCTTTTGCTACACAGGTATGACAGTACTCTCAAAGCTGTTGTAACATATACAGAGGAGCTAGCACAAGCGCAATCGTTAGCGGCTGACAAACTACTACAGCAAGGAACTTATTTGGGTTAGCAGTTATTTTGCGCATGGAAGAAATAGTTAACTAACTCGTTGGCAGGACCATTGCACGGAATTCCTTATGGTTTGAAGGACACAATTGCGGTTCCAGGGTACAGAACCACTTGGGGAAGCACAAGTTTTAAGGACCAGTTCTTCAACGAGGAAGCATTTGTTTATACCAGGTTTGTGATCAAACTTGCATTGCTGTTCAAGCAAAGAGTTTTGGCAGACTCAAAGAGGCTGGAGCTGTGCTAATAGCGAAACTGGCTACGGGCTCCCTTGCTTACGACGATATTTGGTTTGGAGGTCGGACGAGAAATCCCTGGAATATTGAGGAATTTTCAACTGGATCTTCTTGCGGACCTGCCGCGGCCACATCTGCTGGTTCGTTGAGTTCGGTGATTTTTCTGGTTTTAGTTTTTTTTGCTTTGTAGGAACCATTCCTTTTGCTATTGGATCGGAGACAGCAGGCTCAATATCTTATCCTGCTGCTCGAACTGGAGTGACGGCCTTCAGGCCAACATTCGGAATGGTGAGCCGATGGCAAATTATGAGCCTATCAGAGAGCCTGGTAAGTATACGTGCTTGTGTGTGTATGTTTTTTTGTTTTCGGTATTCTAAGTTGGTGTTTGGCAGGATAAGATCGGTCCGTTTGGTAGAAGCATCGAGGATTGTACTATCGTGCTAGATGTACTACGTGGAAAAGATCCTCGCGATCTCTCCTCGAAGAACATCAAGCTAAAGGATCCGTTCTCGATTGATGCGAAGAAGCTGACTGTCGGCTATTTGCCGGATGCAGAGATGGAAGTAAGTGTTCCAAAGCGTTTCGTTAAAAACTTTCTATGTTTCGCAGGTTGTGCGTATCTTAAAAGAGCAAGGTGTGAAGATGGTACCATTCGATCTAAAATACAGCGTCGACTCCGCGCAGCAGATTCTAAACTTCACCATGGATGTCGATATGCTGGCACATTTCGATCACTGGCAGCGCGCTGGCCTCGACGACGCGTACGAAGCACAGGATCAGTGGCCAGTTGAGCTCCGACGAGCGCGTCTCATCTCGGCAGTCGATTACGTCCAGGTAGACAAGAACTCCCCTTCGTTCTTCTCGTTCTTTTCTTGTAGCTTCTAACGTATGAACTTTCGCAGGCACAGCGAGCACGTCACAAGCTCATCTCCGAGGTGCTAGAAGCACTGAAAGGCATTGACGCATTTATAGGAAACGCTACAGACTGGGAGAAAGTTGCCGTGGGCAATCTCGTGGGAATGCCAGTGGCCATCATCCCAGCCGGCTTGAAAAGCATTCAAAATCCACCACCGGAAGGAACTCGGCGGAGAACCACAGTGACCGCGGGGATATATGCCCGACCATACGGCGACTCGGAGGTAAGCAAACAGATCTTTCCAGAGACCATTTATTTATATCGTGAGAGCTTCACAGGTTTTGGCACTGGCAATGGCCTTCCAGAAAGTCACAAAGCATCACCTCCAGCGCCCACCGGTCGACAATGTCAAGCCATAGTTTTGTATGAACGAGAACAAAGTTCTCCCAAGCTCTCAGCTTCCTCGGTAAGTCGTGAAGCTGAAGGGCGACAGCAGCAAAGGGACGTGAAAGTGCTGGAACTCCTGTGGCGGCTTGATGTCAAAGATGATGCAAACGTAAGGATAGAATGGCCCAGCGCCGTCGCTGCTCGCCGTGAAGGAGAGATACTTGCCAGTGTTGAAAGTCAGCCTGTAAACTCCAGCGGCGACTCGCTCCGAGGCTTGCATTAGAGGACCCGAGCGTCCATCCTGGTTTGTCACCGATGTTCCCAGCGGCATCCAAGACGTGTCCTCGAGACGCTCCAGCGAGATTTCCAAGCCGGCAGCTGGTCTTCCCAGAGAAACGTCCAAGACGTGCGTTGTGATTGGGGGGCGGAGAGATGGTTGCGGCTGCTGACCAGAGACGTGAGCTTCGATCTTGCTGAGCCGTCCGTCAGCTTTTGCGTCACCTATAGGAACAGGCATGGCGAGTTTAGTTAAGAGAATGTGGTATGACACTCGAAGCGAAACGAAGAAACAAAAGTCTATGTTACCAGTCCGAAAAGTACCAGATTCTTCGCGGCTTAGAGGAGAGTCGAGAGGTTTTTCATGATCTAGTCTCTGCTCCGAAAGGCTCAACTTGGAAGTGTTCTGGTCACCACCTAGAAACAAGAGGCAAATCTCTAGCTGGATCTGGTTCTCGATAAAGGATAAAGACTAGTACATTACCAGGAGCAGTGTTCTGTGAGACGAGCTTTGACAACCGTAGTTCTGTGATCTTTTGTTGTTCGTTTGCAGCAACTTGGAGCTCAACCAAGGGTCTATTTGTGATTCGTCCCTTGAGAAGTAAAACAAAGCTCGAAGCAAAGATCAAGGAAAGAATAGCACACCTTGAGAAGCTGCAAAATCTCCGAGCTACTCTTTCCAGTTGCACAGACAAGGAACACGAAGCCAAATTTTGATTCGTAGAGCCGATTCCACTCGGCTAGATCCTAGAACGTCATATAAGTCCCTATCAAGCTAGCCAACAAAGGATACGAAGAAAAAAGATAGAAAAAGAAGAAAGATTCTCACTACCTTGAGTGCTCGATCATTTGCACTGCTCAGTGCTGTAGCTTGCTCCTCGGCACACCAGCTAAAAAAGATACAAATAAAAGGGATAAGAAAGAAATTTCACGCATTACTCTGTTGTGGACTTGCTGCTGAGCGCTCCAATCCTTGGATGAGCTCCAAAAGCTTCCAGCCATCCAGGAACATCCACCTGCGCTGATAATCCTCAAGATCTCGCCCAAAGGATCGAGCACAGACCTGATTCCACCATATCTGCCGCGACATCTCGATCGCCTCGGCAAGATTCTTGAAAGGCCCGACCTTGGCCATCTCCTTGGCGAATTTCGAGCTGCCGCAGCACGCGATCCAATCGCTCTCGGAGAAATGCATCGCGATTTGCGATAGCCTAGCCAAAATTTCGAGGGTTCAGGTTTTCACATATTTCGCTAGATACCAGAACGACACGTGTCACGTCGGCATTGGCTCCAGCGGGTTAAAGGTTCTTCGTTTTTAAACTGTTTGGCTATAAACCCTAGGAGGGAAAAATCACTGAGGAAATCTTTGGCGATGGACGACCTCGAGGTGGAGGAGAGGATCAGGGAGCTGAAGGCGCTCCAGATGCGCCAGGATCTGGTCCGGGTAGAGAACACGATGCTCACGGAACACCTTGCGGTAAGTGATATTGAGATTTGGGAGAAGTAAATGCCGATTTCCTGCCCTACATCTCTTGCTCCAATGATCTTGTCTTGAGAATGCTTGGTTGCAAACGTAAAACGAGCTGCTTATCATCTATGATCTTGCGTTTGAGATTTGGATTTCCTGCCGAAATTTCTTTCTCCAATGATCTTTTCTTGAGAATGCTTGCTTGCAAACGTATGAAGAGCTGCTTATCATCTATTCTCTCTTTTTTGTTTCTTCCTCGAGATTGATCATGTCTAACTTCAATGTGGTTTTTTGAGCAGCGTGTGGTGGTGTCTCGGAAAGGAAGCATGGAACTCCACCTGGAGAAAGCCGCAGAGGAGCGTGAAAATAATGGATCGGACTCGACTTCACGGAGCAGCCTATCATCCAGAGGCTCCTCTCCGAGCTCCGCGAGAAGTACCGTGAGGTTTACCGCGGCGGCGGGGCCAGCAGTAGCACCCGAGGCGCCAGTACCGATGAGCATGGAGGAGAAGTGTGAGATTGCTGAAGAAGAATGCCGGTTCCTGGAGCAACACCTTGACAAGATGCGCAGTGAGAATGAACGAGTTCTTGATGACTACCGGGCGATACTCAAGCAGGCAAAGATGGCCATCGCCGAAGTAAGGAAGGAAAAGTCCGACTTTTACAGAGATGTTCTGCTGCTGGCGCAACTCAATCCAGCTAACAAGTCGTATTCACAAGACATTCTCAGGTAAAATTTGGAATCTTTTCTAACTTTTCTCAGCGAGAACCACTCTAAAGATTGAATTGTTTGCTACAGTTTTATTGAAGAGAAGCTTCGAAAGCGGGTGGTGGTCAGGAACTCTATCAAAGCGAAGAACAGCAGCTTACAGGCAGAAATAACGGAGCTTGAAACTCAGTTTGCCTCTAAGAAGGACCTCAAGGACATTCTGCACGTTGTGGATTTCGACCAGATCAAGATTCTAAACCACGAGCTTAATAGTCGTACGAGGGAACGAGATAATGGAATACAAAGCCTCAAAAGTGTGATGAAGGGCTCTACGAAGGTATGTATGGATGTTGGAATAGTGTTCTTCCTCACTTGCTTCTGGTTCCCAGGCTATGAATGAAACTCAAAAGGAGCTAACAAATGCATATGATAGAGGAATTGAGCTCAAGAACTGCCTTCGGGATCGAGTGCCGGTTATAAAGTCTGCCAAGGAGAACATTGTCACAGAAAAATCTCAAAGAGTACGTATTCTGCGAGTCCTGTTCTTTCTAAAGCAACACCTTTCAGATGAAGCTCCACGAAGCTGTGTTAACCGCTATCCAAGACCAAGACGGGCCTGTTCAGCCAACTGCTATGGACTATATGCGGACACAAGACAAAGCTGGGAAGCTCTGGAAGGATATTAGGAGATGGGAAGTCAAAGTAAGTTTTTTCCATAAATTTCTCGCCTGTACACAGCAAGTATTTGTGTTCCCAGGTGGAAGTCGCGACGCTTATGTCTCAGGAACTCGAGAAGAGCTTGGCATTCATGCAGGGTGTCTCGGCTTAAAACGCAGGTTAGATTTCTTTTTTCCTTCTCGTTAGCAAAGATGTCAACATGTCCGAGTGGTTAAGGAGACAGACTTGAAATCTGTTGGGTTTCACCCTCGCAGGTTCGAATCCTGCTGTTGACGATGGTATAACCGACACGTTCCTCTTGTTACGTGCCATCTTTCTTCCGTCAAAGTGGATGTTGCTGTACGAAATGATTCTGCCACTGACGTTTATATTCAAAGAAAGATATGAGGACCGAGGATGATCTCAGCTGCCACTATGTGACAAGATTCCCGAGGTAAAGCTATATGCACCTTTGCTTTTCTTTCATTCTATTCGACCTACAGGTAAATCATTGGAACAAGTGATGTTCTCCAAGACTTACTTTCTCTGGTGTGTGTTCCAGGAACATCTATACATTATCTTCACCCCAGGGGCCGCAAGAAAGCTCGAGGCACTCGCTCAGGCCGCTCTGGAAAAGAATGAGCAGCAAAGGACGACTCCCAGCGATCGTTGCCGTCGCCATCTCGCTGACAGTGCTGGTAAGTTTCCAGAAACCACAGGCCTCGCTCGTGCTCGTTGCCGGCCAGGTGATAACCAGATGCAATCCATCGCTGGGAAGCTCCGACTGCTCCACGGACACTTGCTGCGGCCAGAATGGCTACTGCACAGGCTCGAATTGCTGCACGACTCGGAAGTGTCTCGAGTACTACGCTCCTCCAGGCTACTATGACCGCGACTCTCACGACCACGATCACGATCAAAGCTTGTCGGGCAAGAAGAGCTTCGGATGGTGGGTTCAAGCGGCTGCTGGGCTCACCGGCTTGATCCTCATCGTTATACTCATCTGCTGGTTCCTCTCGGTAAGCAAAGAGGCGGATTTTCTAGGAAAAAAAAGGAAAAATCTCTCTTTTCTTAATCTTCGTCATCTTTGTGTTCTTCCAGAAATGCCTATCAAAGTTCTGATCATGATCACCCAAGTACTACGTTTTAACATTGTAAAAAACAAAACGATGAAGAACGTAGAAGAGAGAAAAATATTTCCCAAGTGATGTTTCTTGTGTAATAATTGCTACAGTTACTTTGCCGCCCCGTGATCCTCGTTTTTGTAGAAAAAAGATCTGCTCGAGAAACGCGGTGTGTAAGAATGGCGCACGTGGCAGTGGGCTATTGGGTGGACAGTTACACGCCACAGCCGTTGGATCCAACTGGAGAGCTCTATTTGATCGCGGCCCATCATGGGCTTCTGTCCCCGACAGTACCTTTAGGGCTCTTCGATTCGATTGCGTTGGGGGGAGAGAGAGGGCTGTGCTACCGCCGGGGCTGTGGCGTGGATCCATCGATCAATCATTCGCTAGCAGCAGCAGTAGCGGTAGCAAGCCCACATTCTTTCCAAATTCGATCTTTTTCTGGGCGGCGCCAGGGATTGTTTCGCGCAGGAGGGGATTTCTAGGGCTCTAGCGCCATGGAGTGTGACGCCAAGCTCCTGGATCGAGTCCCCACCGGAAAGCCCCCTTTCTCGCTGGGCGACATCAAAAAGGCCGTGCCCAAGCACTGCTTCCAGCGATCGCTGCTGCGATCCTCGGCGTACCTCCTGGTGGACCTCCTGGGCGTCGCGATCCTCTTCTACCTCACCAGGTTCGTGGAGATCGTAGCGCCGCCGGGGATCTTCCAGTGGATGCTCTGGGGGGCTTACTGGATCGCGCAGGGCTGCGTGGCTACCGGATTGTGGGTCATCGCCCACGAATGCGGCCACCGCGCATTCAGCGACTACGCGGGCGTGGACAACGCGGTGGGATTCGTGATCCACTCGTGCTTGCTCGTCCCATTCTTCTCGTGGAAGTACAGCCACGCCCGCCACCACGCAAACAATGGCAGCATCCATCGCGACGAGGTGTTCGTCCCCAAGGAGAAGGATGGCCTGAGCGCATTGACGCCATTCCTCCAGCACACTCCCGGCCGGATCTTCTCCATCCTCTTCATGCTCACGCTCGGCTGGCCGAGCTATCTCCTCCTCAACGTCTCGGGCCGCAAGTACCCGCGCTTGGCCAGCCACTTCGATCCAAACTCCCCGATCTTCAACCGGCGGGAGAAGCTCCAGATCGTGGCCAGCGATCTGGGCTTGCTGGCGGTGTCCGCGGGGCTGATCTACCTGGGCTGGAGCGCGGGATTCGTGTGGCTGCTCAAGGTCTATGGCGTCCCTCTCATGATCGTCAATGCATGGCTCGTGACGATCACGTATCTCCAGCACACTCACGTCGCGCTCCCGCACTACGCGGACTCGGAGTGGGATTGGATTCGCGGCGCGCTCGTCACGGTGGACAGGGATTATGGGATTCTCAACACGATCTTCCACCACATCACCGACACTCACGTCGTCCACCATTTCTTCTCGAGCATGCCGCACTATCACGCCCAGGAGGCCACCGCGGCTGTGAGATCGGTGCTTGGGCGCTACTACTTGTGCGATAAAACTCCAGTCCTGGTTGCGATCTGGAGGGAGTACAAGGATTGCGTGTTCGTGGAGCCGGATGCCGCTGGAGAGGGGATCATGTGGTACAAGAACAGCTTGACCTCTTGAAGAAGAGTCCATCATCTATGATTATCTACAGGTTTAAGTGATCGATCACTCAAGAAGGATCGATCATTGAAAGAAATCCTTAAAAGAATCCAATTGTCTTTTGGATCTATTCGGAAAATCTTGGTCCTAGAAAGATCTTGTTAAGCTGAGAATCTTGATCCTGAGATTTTGTTCCGAGTATTTCAATCACGGGTGAGATGATTGATAGAGCTTCTTCTTCATGTCCTCTTGTTTACAAGGAGTAGCAGAGCTCCAGCAGCGTTTAAAGCTCAAGGAAGTTGACAAGGCCAACATCCAAAGTGTCTACGCCAACCTTGTCAAAACTTGCATCGCCACCAAGAATTTGAAAGAGGGCAGGCTCTTGCACTCCTTGATTCTCAAAAGCCAGCTCAAGGACGATGCCTTTCTCGACAATCTGCTCATGGACATGTACGGGAAATGCGGCAGCCCCGAGGAAGCGCGCACCATCTTCGACAAGATGGAGAACCCTAATGTGTATTCGTGGAATATCATCGTTACCGCATATGCCCAGGCAGGGCATCTTGACGACGCACGCGCTTTGTTCGATAAGATGGAAGACAGAGATGTGGTGTCGTGGAATGGAATCATTGCGGCCTACTCCCGGCAAG